GAAGAAAGACAAACCAACCATCCACAACAGTTTGACTATAGCTGGAGTATGGAATAGTAAAACAGGCAGACGGACAAACCTCTGCTGAGTCTGTCGACGACGGCTGATCTCTGGTCGGCCTTCCGGAGGTGCCTGGTGACAACTGCTAGTGACTGACACGATGCCAGCTTCACTGGACGAACATACTGTACAGTGATGAGGGAAAGAGAAATTAGACATTACACGTGACATTCAACCTTTATCCCAAAAAATTTTCTGATGTCACGAAAAAATGGTGTTAGGGTCCCACATACACACAGTATATAATGCTGGTCAACCATGTAACAGTGTTTTGCACGAGAGATATCTTTTACGCAATTCACAAAAGCTTTATGTAATGCAGTGATGCAAATAGTGTACATAGTATGAGGCCACCTTTCCAGTGATGATCTTCATAAGAATGGGGACTATCTTGTTGTACAGTTGGTCCGTCGTTAGGCAGTGAACCAATGAGGAAAACCCTGTTACTATCTGCTCGTGGAGTCGCCATTGACGACAGCTGCCGGCCACACCCTCTGCTGTTATCAGTGGACCGATCAGCTCCGGAATACCGGGATGCTGCAGAGGAAAACAATCAGGACAGTGTTAGTTCAGGACGAGTTTATTATCAGGACGTCCTAAACTTGCCTTTGTTTCGGGGGAGAGATTTGCGGATTTCGCGAAGCCCTTGAGTGTCTCGGTCATGTGACCAGCCAGACCCTGCAGAACCTGAATACACAGTCGAACCAACCTCGCTAATCCTGACACCAATGAGACACAAGAATGTTTGTATTAGTAAAGTGTCCTTGAATTGCATAAAAGAAACTGATCTATATAAAGGTACATACATGTCCTTAGAGGAGAGTTCCACTGTATATACATACGATGCTAAAAGAGAGAGAAGAGAGGAGAAAGATTGTCTTACTTCAACTGATTTTGAGTTGAGTAGTTTCTGATAGATGCCCACCGCACTCATACTCTTGTCTCCTAGCAACCGGACCACCTCGTGGTAACCGCTGGCAACGGTGTGTCTCACGCGAGGCGAATCGTCCGTTGCCAGGTCCTGGTGGGTGGAGCTTAGCTTCACGACGTACCCGCCTCCTCCTACCATCTGCACCATTGCCTGAAGACAACATGAAGACAACGTGAGAATGAAACAATACACATAATTATGTACATAAAGTTACTGTGTATGTTAGATATGGTAGGCGGGACGTACGGGGAAGTTGTAAGCACAGAGACGACGACATTCCGTCCTCATTCCATTCCGGACGGTGGTGGTTGGCGTGGCAACGGAGTGGGGCCTCCCCTCGTTAACGGGGTCGTCAAACCTGCTGAGCTGGCAGTAGAACTTGACAAACCAGTCACGCAAGTCGGCCGTCATCACATCTGATAAATCATGACATCACTATTACGTCATACTTTAAACCTCAGAAGGTGGATCTCTAAGTAACAGACACCTCCCTATAAAGGTACGTAACTTACTAGCTCAACTGCTGCCAGCAATTCAAAGGAATTGTGGCAGTAATAGAGAAAAAGCAATCTGTGTAATATACACATTCTTGCACTATGTATGGTTTATCATTTCTGAATGACGTATAATAATTATACTGCCACATTAATTTTGACCCCACGCAGGCCTGCATAAGCTAAATATTATAAACTACTGGTTTTTTCACTCAAGAGAACAGTGAGGAGGTAGAATGATGTAATAATGATGTAATGGCCTATTGATAATTACTTACCTTTCAGTTGGTGGCTGAGTTTCCCCAGCAGTCGTGCCACGCCGGTCAAATCAGGACTGGAAACATCGGTCAGTGATTTTTGAAAGATCTTTACGACCAGAGGGACGGCCACAGTTCTGACTGTCTCCACTGGTAGATGGGAGACCACGTTGGCTATTGACTCCAGAGCCGCCTCTCTGACAGCGGGTTCTTCGTCGTTTGTCAGCTCCGTTAGTTCGGGGAGCACGCAGGATTTCGCTAGCTCTGGGCTAGTGTGACAGTGAGAGAGAGAGAGAGAGAGAGAGAGAGAGAGAGAGAGAATTTCAACGGCATCGAAAATCTTCGTAAGCAAAACGGTGAAATTTATTAGTAAGGTTTTAACCCAGTGAAATATATTTAAAAAACCTCGAATCCATGAATGAGAGAGAAATACTATTTTCTTACTTCATGCATTTGGCGAAGATGTGCAGCTGGGAGCACATGGTTATCCTGACCTCAGAGTCCACATCTTGACAGAGAGACTTTACTTGTGGAAACACCTCCCTCTTCAACCTGCACGCAGCACGATAAAATGTGTGGGTTCGAAGGAAAAAACAAAGAGGAAATATGAAGGGAATGTGGCAGTATAGAGGCTATGTGGGTGCATTACCAAATACCAGAATGGTTCAAATTTCTGTGCGATAGCTCCAAAAATGAGACAGCCAGATTTCCTAGAATTGACCGTCTGTGACAACTGCGACCTAGCAACAGCCAACGAGAGTATGTCCCTCCTAATTACGTCCTTCGTTAGCGACGGAACTGCCACTAGCAACGCGTCCAACCATACACTGCTGACAGCTGGAGGAGATAGAAAAAATCAAAATCACATCTCTCGGACAGTTTCAGTTTTATGATAACTATGTAAGTAATTAGTGAGCAAAACAAGCCTACCTAGTCGTCTGAATGCAGGATTATCTAAACCTTACTTCTTGCACGGACACTGCACATACCGTAAAGTTCTACGTGATTCTAAATACACGCAAATTTGAATCTTATTCGCGTGAAAGGTTAAAAATCAGGCTCACTCGCCCAAAATGATTAGTTTGATCTAAAAATATTCCAAAAGTGAACGTACAAGGGTCTCTGGAATTGATGAGTCTGATCACCAGGGGCAGGAAGGAGGAGGAGAAAATGTGGGTGGGGATTAGATTTCTGGATAAGGCCACGCCCAGACTCCGCCCAGCTGCCGTCTGGATATTGGCCGAGGCACTGGGCAGGTTTCCCTAGTTAATGAGGAGAGATACAATGTAGCATAAAATTATCAATCGTACACATATTCTCGGGACGATCTTGTTGAGAGATACAATGTAGCATAAAATTATTGGGTAAAAATGTCCATCTTAGAGAAGTGTCCTCAGCACTTTAGGCAAGTGAGGGAGAGAGGTTAGGAAGAGAGAGAGAGAGAGAGTCTTGCTAACACACAACATGTGTCCCTAGCTGTCAACCGTACACATATTCTCGGGACAATCTTGTTGAGAGTCTGATCTCTGTTGGTCTCCAGGAGACAGGGCAACTGCTGGACTGCATACACCTTCTGTACCTCCTGACCCGTCCTGCACCAGTGGAGTAGGGTGTTCACTTGTAATTGTGCGTAAGATGGTTTTTACATGCATATACATACTGTGGAACTCCTCTCAAATCTAACAAATCTGGACACTTTATGCCATATTGGTGTCTGGATTAGGGGAGTTCAACTGTGTATATAAATCAAAGGGAATTGGCAGTATATATAACAAGGACTAAATTTTGAAAGTGGCAACATTTCTAAATTTGGTCCTTATGTACTGACACATTCCCTGTATTTCACCTGAGGAGAAGATCAGCCTTTTCAATAGGAGAGAGTGTCTCATCAACTGTCAGCTTCTCTATTTCTTCAGGAGACTGTTTGAATTACAAGACAAGTTCAAAAGGCCAGGGGTAGCTGCTATGCAACGCACAAGATGATAGAGTTTGTAAGAGACTAGCTTTCAAATGAGTGGCTGTGAGCACTATCCAAACCCTTGCTACCAGAGAGCGAGCAAGCTCCGCATAGCAACTGAGCACCATTGTTTGGTAACCTGGTGCGCGTCATTTAGAATTCCAGCTACGCCTCCTTTTCGGATCGAAGCCTGGAAAACTCGCTTCCCCCGCGCGCTCGCAAGTCTGCGGTGGTCAACTTGCCTTGGTGGCCTTTACGGTCTTCTCCGAGCGAAGTTCCTCCATCTCCTCCGTCCCCAGCTGCAGGAACTCGGGCGAGTTGGTGGAGAACCCGCAATCCCAGTCCATTATTCTCTCTCCCTCTTGTTTGCGCGACTAGATTGCCTCAGTTGAAGTAACTTCTGCGAAAAAAGCTGTTTCAACGTATATTTTACCCTCGAAGGCCAAGCAGTCGGTGGTTTTTGGATAGTTAGTACGACCTGTCTCTCGCGCTTTCTAGGGTGGAAATCACGCATGCGCACAACACGCCAGCGAAATGACGTAATCTTTGCGGGTGACGTGGTGTTTCTCCCATTTTCTAGTGGTAGATTTTCTTGGAGAATTCGAGCTGCTAAGAGGTTCTCTGCTGCCAGAAGAAATGGGAAAGTTAATTCTGGTAGTGCTGTTCGTCTTGACGGCTCTTCTGTGTGCGTGTCGGGCGGCAAAACCACGGGGAGGCAAGTTTACTGGGCCCGAGGCCATCCAACAGAATCTTTATCAGCCAAAGAACGCGGAAGAGGAAGAGGTAAGGGGAAAAGGAGGGTAGAGCGTTAGAATAGGGAATGGGCCGTTTGTGTATATAACAACGTAGAAAAATTGGTGGGGTGCTCTTTAATTGGAATGACGCCCCCCTCCCTCCCCACTCTCCTTTCTTTCTCCCAAAAGATGTCGAAGCCATCTGTTGAATGCAGAGCACTGTCACTCTATAAAGACGCAACTATTTCTCTGAGGATGAAAGGTGGGTGCCAGTTTGGTTTCTGAGGGCATCTCTCTGTTGTTTCCCTACCATGAATGCAGCTTTACCCTTTCCCCTCCTTTTGTATCTCTTTCCTTCCCTCTCTCTCCATCGTCCTCTTGTTTCTCCCCCACACCACCCTTAATTGTTCGTTCTCCCTCCATTCCATTCCTTATTCTCTTTCTCCTCCCTTCTTCATCCTCATGTTTTTCTTTAACCCTCTTCTCCCTCCCTCCCTCTACATCCACCCCCACTCTTCCTCTCCTCCCCCTCCCTTATACAATTGCAGCTAAATTTAAGAAGTCAGTTGGTATAACGGTCGTAGTATCAATCATCAGAGCCAAATGTGCTAATCTTGGGAGCTGTGAAGTTGTTGGAGACGGGCAATACATTGGATTTTGGGGAAACATCACTAGCCGTACATTTTATGCTAAAGTCGATACCAAGCCTGAGACCTTGATAGGGGTAAGTGGATGTGGCAAATCTGAAACTTGCTAGCCAAGTACACATCCACACAGTAACGACAAACAGGGCACTATTTGGAGTGTATGCAAACAATACTTTTTATCTTGTGATAAATTGTAGATAAGTGGACTCTTCTCCACAGTAAAACAAGGCAGGCCATCTACAGTAGATGCCAAAGGGAATGTGGTAGGGCTAAATTAGAAAAACTGAACTCGGTTGCATTCTTTCACTGTGCCCCTATTGTTTTGTTCTATCTTTAGCAACATTTCTAAACTTAGCCCTTAAATACTGCCACATTCCCTTAATGAATCCTTTACTTGAGGCTTCACTTATGTATTAGTATGGGGGCAGAACCAGGTGTCCTTTATAGAGAGATGTCTTTACTTATTAGACTACGGTAACACGCAATTGACCAATCAGATTGCGAGTTTAGCGGTTACTATTTTTGTTAGTGACCTCTTCCGCGGTAACTATTCGTAGCCCCGGCAACCACGCCTTCAATTCGAAAAGACGCCACGCGGACGGTGAACCGAGCTTCTGGAGCGGTTCTTCCCACGAAGAAACCAGGAACAGGCTCTTCTAGCAGCAGCGCATGACTACTAGAGAGCTAGGAAGACGCTAGAGAAAGCGTACAGGGAAAAACGCGCACAAACGGCCGGCCGGCGCGATCCCGAAGGGCAGCAACGCCTACAACGGACACTGCAGCGGGACTTGCGCTGTAGTCTAAGCCGGTTAGACGCGTCGCCTTGGGAAACTACGCGATTTAGTGAGCCTCGGAGCCCTTAGTAGCGCCCTCGCTACGTTCGGGACGCCGACAGCTCAGGGCTCCTCGACTCACTAAGTCATGTAGTTCCCGCGGCTCAGCGTCTAACCTATACGTAGGTCCTTTTTAAGAGGTTTTATTTTATCCCCCCTTTTTCAGCCTGTAGCAAGTAAACCAGGAGAACAGGGTACCCCGACTGAGGACAACGGAAAAAAGACGAAGAATAAGGGAGAAGGAGGAGGAGGAGGAGGAGATGAGAGTAGCAAGGAGAATAAAGAAAAGACGAAGCCCACTGATGACAAAAATGACGATCAAGGAATTGAAAAAACGAAACGAAGAAGACAAGGCAAACACTGACGAGGAATTAAGTTCCACTAACAGTTCAGTGACTGTTTCCGCTCCATCACAGACACCTAATGCCCCTCCCCCTGATCCTACTTCTCCCGATGCTCCTGCCACTGCTCCAGCTAAAGTTGAACAAGTGAGCCGTCTGCCCTTTCCCTATCTACATTTGTAACTGAACACGTTTCTTGACTCTTTCAAAAAACACGGTTGGAGTGCATGCATGTACACTATACCCGTAAAAAAAATACAAAATTTGCAGAGTTTTTTTCTATTTTATGTTCAGATACGTACCTTTTTCTGTACTTTTGATCTCTCATTTTCTCTTTCCCTTCAGCCGAGTGGCGAATTCCGAACCAATGAGTCTGGACTATTCATTGTCTACATTCAGTCTTGGGTCAGAGAAAAGGGAACACCCGTAAACCTGACCTGTGAGCCGTTCGTCTCTCACTTCTTATTCCTCTTCGCCCCTTTGCCCTAGTTCCTTGCATGTTTTCTTTTTTAGTATGTAGAAGGTTAAATGTAGTTAACGGAAGGGAGCCAGTCTCGGTGCGCCCGCATATTGCGCAAGGGAAGCAGGGAGCGGAGACGCATGAAATTATAGTTCATAGCATACCAGCCATAGGTATATATAGCATGCACACTCAATGTGCATGCCCAAGATATCCCACGTGGTACGGTGCCATTTAGTCAGTTGACTACGAGCAGACGGCTGCATAAAGGACACACCCCCGCGCAACGTTTGGCTCCTCCAAGTGTAGAATGGGCAGACTAGAGTTAACTCGGTGTTATCAATCTCGTTTTAAGACTTGTGAGCTTTTTCACCTTTTTCACACATTGTCAAATAACGTTCTGCTGTTTTTTTCTCTTCTTTGTCTAATGTGCAGTTGATTTAGAGATGAAGAATACGTTTGGATATCTGGCTGCTATCGATTACCCCGCACTAGTGGTGAGTCTGCAATCTATGTCGAACTAAGCGATAACGTCATAATTGTTTCTTCACATATTTAAAGTCTCTGTACATAATACCGTAATAATTATGCCTTTCGTGAGTATTTTTCACATAATTGTTTAAACTTCCGCGTTTGAATGTAGGAGCTTTTTAAACCATGTCTCTCTCTCTCTCTCTCTCTCTCATTCTCTCTCTCTCTCTCTCTTTCCTGCTACAGTTCTACGGCCTGATGCTGGCAGTGTACATCATCCTTGGCCTGGCCTGGTCGGTCTGCATGTGCTGCTCCTACAAGGACCTCGTCAGACTCCAGTTCTGGGTTTTTGGAGTCGTCATTCTCGGGTTTCTGGAGAAAGTCTTCTTCGTTTCGGAGTACAGCTCCGTCAATGCCGGGGAGCAGAGTAAGGCCTTTAATTGCATTTTTGTTCAGTTTGTCAATTTGCTACTACTATTAGTCAGCATATTTTTTGATGGTTCATCTCAAATTTATCTCTGTCTCTCTGCAGCCTCGATGCTCATTGTGCTGGCAGAGGGGATATCGGCAGTCAAGAGAGCTCTGGCCCGAGTCCTGCTCATCATCGTCTGTCTCGGTTTTGGCACCGTCATGTCAGTCTCTCTTCTCTTCTCTCTTCTCTTCTCTCTTCCAACACACACTTTCTTGTTATCTCTCTTTTTACCTACGTTGCATCTTGATCTTCTTTTCTTTTACATGCAATTTTCATTTCATTTTTTCTTCTCTCCCTCTCCTCATTATCCCCTTCCATTACCCACACTATAATATCAGAACCTTTACTACCTTTTTTACCTGCACATTTCTCCACTGATACACTTGTCGTTTTACTCCCTCCCTCCCTCTTCTCCCTCTTTTCCCTCCCTCCCTTCCTCCCTCTTTTCCCTCCCTCCCTTCCTCCCTCTTTTCCCTCCCTTCCTCCCTCTTTTCCCTCCCTCCCTTCCTCCCTCTTCTCCCTCTTTTCCCTCCCTCCCTTCCTCCCTCTTTTCCCTCCCTCTTCTCCCTCTTTTCCCTCCCTCCCTTCCTCCCTCTTTTCCCTCCCTCTTCTCCCTCTTTTCCCTCCCTCCCTTCCTCCCTCTTTTCCCTCCCTCTTCTCCCTCTTTTCCCTCCCTCTTCTCCCTCTTTTCCCTCCCTCTTCTCCCTCTTTTCCCTCCCTCCATTCAGCCCCAGACTGGGTGATTCACTCTTGAAGGTCATAGCAGCTGGCGTCATATACTGGGTTCTCGCTCTCATCGACGGCGTTGTCCGATCGAGAACCGTGAGTCTTCACACGATTGTGTGTAAATGTCCAGTTTAGTATCGTGAGATCTTAACCCTTTGGACACAATGGGTATTTCCTTATGTATGAAGTATTAGCGCACCTAGTATTATAACCCCTGTATATATTCTTATGGACTTATGGACGTATTTATGTGTCCGTGGCTTGCTAAGTATTAAGTCACATTGTGTGTGGATTTAGGACACGTTTGATACTGATGACAGAACACCTCTGGTGACAATGGCTCTGCTGTTCTTCATGGATTCCTTCATCTTCTACTGATATCTCACCATACTTAACTGGGTTTTAACACAAAAAAACATGAGCCTTAGGGTACCACTGCTTGTATATTATATGCTACTGTGGAACCTCCAAATAAGGACACAAAATCTACAACTGTTAAGTTTGTGGTAAAATGTGGCAGTGTGTACATACATACATATACTTGGGGCTGAAATTGAAAGTGAGCGATAGGGCCCGGTGAGGAGGACGCAATTAGGTTTTACGTTTCTAGTAATGATTTCTAAATGTATAGCTTCACAGAAATCACTGTTAATCTTTGACTCATGTACTCACGCCATAACGGCACTGATTGGAGTGCGAAGAGCTCTGCGATTGAGGAAGAACTACGTGAACTAGCGATGTACAACCACTTTGCGTACACCTTGATCTTTCTCGCTCCTCGCGACGCTGGCCTTCACCATATGGCTGTTTGTGGAGTTCAACTTCCCCAAGGCCGGCTGCCTGGAGTCTGTTAATCTAGTGGTGAAAGAGTTAAACTTGTTTGTAGATGTCAACTTCCCCAAGGCCAGCTGCTGGAGGTCTGTTATCTAGTGTGCAAAGAGTTAATTACTTGTTTTGTAGAGGTCAACTTTCCCAAGGCCGGCTGCCTGGAGGTCTGTTATCTAGTGATGAAAGGTTATTAATTAATTATTAAGCTTGTTTGAGGCCATACTTTTCAAAACTTAATGCGACCTTCAATGTGTCTGTTACGTAAGTGAATGCAACAGGTTGTAAGTTTCATAGACATATATTTCAGTTGCATAAGCTTTGTCTCAAGTGTCTAACTTGTCATGTCACTCTAATCTATCATACTGCATTCACTACGTATATTATGGTTCACCTAACCCCACCCACTATTGTATGAGCATGCACATGAGATGAGACCACGCTAATTGCAGAAACACTTTACACAAGCGACAAAGAGCACCGTGTGTTAATTTCTTAAAGCCTGGACAAACCAAAAGTGTCTTTTATGCCTGTCCCTTATTCAGAGGTATTGTAATAGTGTGGGACAGAACAAGTGTCCTTCTAGAGAGGTTTCAGAACAGTGGAACCTCTGATAGGCTACCCTCCGAGATAGGGACGGCCTCTCTACAAGGGACACTTGTTTCAATCAACCCCATGCTAATACTTTAGTGTATTATTTGACCTCCGAGATAGGGACGACCTCTCTACAAGGGACAAAATTGTTGGCCCCATAGTGTCCCTCGTTCAGAGGTTCCACTGTACATACTATGTATGTATATTGATGTATTCAGGACTGGCAGGAGGTGTGGCTAAGGGACTGTTTCTGGCATTTCCTGTTCGTCATCGTGCTGATAGTCATAATGGTAATCTGGCGACCGTCGGCCAATAGAAACAGGTTTGCCTACTCTCTCGTCCACGATCTTGACCAAGGAGACGAAGAGGAAGAGGAACGAATGGAAAACAAAAATTTTGGTGAGAACTTAAACCCAACCATATTATTTTTGGCATATATTTTTCTCCCCATCACCCAAAATTTTGGTGCCTTCTTGGCACATACATATTTTTCTCCCCTTCACCAAAATTTTTCTGATGTCTGTTTCAGAGACAGTAAAGATGAGATCAGTAAGTCGAGGCGATGCAGGCACACCCCCTCCCATCTCCTCCACCCAGGCTGTGAGGAATCTATATTTAGACCACTGTTGCTATTTTTAGTAATGATGATGTCATCAATCTGCAGGAAGATGACTTGAGGTGGGGTGGAAGAAAACCCTTCCTACAACTGCCATGGACAAGTGAGAACATAGTGCCCATCTGTAATTTTATGGTCGCTGTCGTATATTTTGCAGGGCACTTCCACTGATACTGGATAGTGATGAAGAAGAGATGAGCACAAAATTTGAAGTCTCAAAAATGAATTAACCCTTTCCTCACACCTCATCAGTTGCACACACTTGCCTTTCCTTTCTCTTCATTACTTTAGTTCGCATTCTCCATGCAGTGTAATCTGAGTAATAAACATTTTGATGATCTGCGTACAGAAAGTACGCAATACGAAAACCAGCCATCAAAATTAATGTCTACGGGTTTGGGTTTACGGTGCTAATATCCGAGGGTTCATTGTTCACGCTCCGTAATCTGCATCAGGTGTCTGCTCCGCCTCTTTTCTGTCGCACGGCTACTCTAGGCCCCTCAGTGTGCTCCGGGGGACATGAACGAAGCGTTCGAGCTGTGTCGACTTGTGGAGAAGCTCCCGCTCAAGATATGCGCCATAGCTACGTGGGGTGAGTTGCCCTCTCCAGGCCGCGCCCGCGGAAACTAGCTACACCCGCGATGGTGCGCATCAATTGGAACTCTTGACCGTTCCCATCTCGCAGATGACGTATTCATCCTGAGCACGGTCCATACTAAGGGAGATGCCCACCTGCTGGTCTACCAGATCAAGGAATCCTCGAGTGAGCATTATATAGGCTTCTTACAACATTATCTACTTACAATACCTGCTAGTGGAACCTCTATAAAGGACACTTGAATAATTATGCATTTTGATCCTGTGTTTAACCTCTGAATAAAGGACACGTTATTATAAATGACAATTTTCATGGTCCTATTAATTGGACGCCATGGGTATCTCCTTAAATATGCATAAATTACATTAATGTAGCATTATAGCCATATATAAATTCTTATGGAGGCTCTGGGCATATATATATATATATGTCCGTGGCTGGCTAAGGGTTAACTCCTTTATGCAGAGGTTCCACTGTATGTTGCAGTGAAGTAATGAGGTGAATGCAACATGTATAATATCAATGGTGTGTTGTGTTGTTGTTACAGGTACGTCTGACTACAGCAGCCCGTACGAGGCAAAATTGACAAAGACACTCAAGAAATTCACAGCCAAACCAGTCACGCAGGTTTGTCTGGCTTTACATGCTACGTATAATATGTACTGAGTTTTCTTCCATGTTGACTGCTCTTGCGGGAAATTTAAAGGGAAAAACTGCAGTTTACCTATTTTTGACCGAAGACGATTTTGAGTTGGAAAATGTTTTGCATAGGGACAATGCAACATTATCACTCTTTTCTGCACAATATTGCAGAAGATTTCATCCCCGAATTTTTAAATTTTATTTTTTTCACCTCCTTTTCTCTAAATTTGTAGTGGCAGTGAAGTAACTCACCGAACACAAGCTGCTGCTGGGGCTAGCAGAAGGAGAGGTGTTCTTTGCCGA